GCAACATGTAGAAGGTAGCCGTTCCATTGCATAACACACACGCCTTGTTCACCGTTGGCAGTAACACGATTTGCTGTATTCCCGGAAGCTTTGCTGACGGAGGCTGGGAGAAAGGGATTGGTAGTCTTGAGGCGAGGATGAATGACGGCTCGTTCGACTTGTCCGAGGGGTCCGGTGGGAGGCAGACGAAATGTAGGATCTCGGCGGCAGAGGTACCAATGTATAGATTGTCATCTAGAAATCATCCAATTAGCTTAGCTCTCCCATCAACAAGGCTGGACGCACTCCAATACTCGACGCAGGTGATATGGACATCCTCGTCATCATTGTCCGCATTCAAGGGCACCTGGTCGAAGAGAGACCGGAACACATAAGGTGCAGCTTTTGGAGGGCCAATCTTCCGCCTTTTGCGCGGGCTGATGCCCTCCTCTTCCGACACCATGATGAGGCCAGCTCGGTGTCTTGAGAGATGGTTCCTGACAGGATGGGGACGTGAGGGGAAGGAAGATCAGGACAGGAACTGGGAGGAGCTTCAGTCGGGCGAGGCTGGGCGCGGGTGGACCCGCCCGGGGTTATCTGCTGACTCAGGTGGAGTCCATTCTATGATTGCAGTTAGTTAACTAGTTATCAGTCTATCACTTTTAACTATAGTTATCAAGTTTGAAGAGCTGCAATTGATGGTCAGTAATCTTCTACTTCATAATTACTGTCTACTTGAACCAATTCTGTGTTTAGGTGCAAGTATAAGCATCGATCTGCATATTGATAGTTCAGCCGTCTTGACTGCAATTGTGACAGCTTCAGCTGCTTCATCACCACTGACGGGGCAGACTTTAGGTTGCAGGCAGCACATATGATACATCTCAAGCCACTGCTTACTCGGGGTCTCTTCAGCATATCCTTACCTGAAAAAAGGCCCTATCTGAGACGAACGTGGCCAAGTTGCTATAAATAACGAGGCTGAACCACGATCGGATAGGAACCTACCGGCATCGATCCAGGAGAATCTCATCTTGAACTGTCAACTCACTAGAATCCTGACTATCAGTATCTTGTCTTGTCATAAGGAGGACACCTCTTCCTTGCATATACACGCCATCTCATCACGCGATTGGGCATCTCTGCTCATTGTTGTCTTCGGAAGATCATCGGCCCGGTCGGCGTGTCACTCCGCATTCGCTGTAGTTTCATATTAACTGGCTTCATTTACTTGTCCCTCTCTGGATAGTCGTGGTGTTGCCGGTCCGGTCTTGGATGGGGGTGTTGCGCTGATTCTTGCTCCATTGAAGCGGATTATTCCCAAATCTCAACCATGGACGCTTTCGCCCTTACCGAAGGCATTGTCCCTGACAATAGCCAGGATGGTCACAACTCCGAGCCCGCCGCCGGCAAGTTACCGGAAGGAGCCAACAAGTTCCAGCGTGCCATTGCGGCCTGGCGAGGTTTGTCGCCTCGATCTTGGAATTTTGGGCCGAAGTAGCCGGCAGCTAACGAGTTCCTTGATATAGGTATCGATCTCGCCAGTACGGTCGCAAAGCTAGACAGTACCGCATCTGACATCGTCGCTCAGCAGCGCGATGCACTCGTCCAGCGCAAAGATCTCGCCCAGAAGACCAAGGACTTCAGGAAGCTAGATGACTCTTCGAAGCTTGCCGAGTACAAGGGTCTTCTGAAAGGTTCGTGGTGTGCCAACCGCATTCGTCCGGCCGTCGCTGACATTTCACAGCTTACCAGGGGTTCATCGATCTTCTCACGAACCAGGGCAAGGCCTCCTCGTCCGCCTTCCTACAGCTTTATTCATCATTGTCCGAAGCGCCTGATCCCTACCCTCTCCTTGAAGCATCCATCGATTCCCTCGTCCATTCCGAAGAAACCGTCCCCAAACTGACCTCGGAACGTGATCGCCTGCAAGGCTCCGTCGACCGTCTCACCTCTCAGCTGGAGGATACGGAGAAGCGCCTTCAAGAAGAACGGGCGGCCAGGAAGAAGCTAGAGGAGAACCAGGAATCTAGAATCAAGGAGGTTGAGGAGTCGTGGTCGGCGGTGCTGTCGGAGAAGACGAACAATTGGACGGCCAAGGAGAAGAGTCTGGAGGAGAAGGTGGAGAATCAAGAGCGCTTGGTGAAGGAGCTCAAGGCAAGCTATGAGGTGTCACAACGCTTGGGCCAGGAGGAAGAGGGCGGCGAGAGCACCCACGGAGCTAGCGCTGCTGAACTTGAATTGGTTTCTACTGAGTTGGAGAAGACAGGCCTGAGGCTGGCGGAAGTCGAGGCGAGGAATGAGCAACTCAGGCTCGAGCTGGCTCAAGCCGTCTCCCACTCGCAGTCGGGCCACGCAGCGTCCGTCGAAGATGACCCTGATTACCTGCGTCTTCAGTCGGAGAACTCGTCCCTTTTGCGCAAACTTGAAGCTGCACGATTTGACAAGGAGTCTGAGCGACACACCTGGGAGTCCAAGTACTCTCAGGCTGAGAGGCAGATCACAAATGTTACGGCTGAGAAGGAAGAATTGCGCTCAAAGTTGGAGAAGGTCGCTGACTATGAAGACATCCGTCGGGAGCTGGAGATGATCAAGGTAATATCTCAATACCCTTCCGTTCTGATTGGCTATCTGACAGTTCCAGTCCATTGAATTCTCGCCTGGTGATGACGACGATGCTGCCGTTCTTACAGACGCTGCGAACGCCAACGGCGCGGCTACCAAGTCCCAGGATGGGTCAAAGAACAAAAACAGCTTGGAGCAGCTCTTGCTCGCCAGGAATAAGAAGCTGACAGACGAGCTCACCATTTTACGGGTATCCCATCGCGACCTTCAGGGCCAGCTAGAGACTCTTCGTGAGGATCTCTCCACCACGAAAGAGGAGTTGGAGAAGTCGCAGAAGCTCTCTACCACATTGGAGAATGATCTTCTCCGTGTACAGGAGGAGGCTGCGAACACATTCCCGTCCTCGGCGATGTCTGTTGCTGGTACTTACACCTCCAAGTACCCACACTCATCCCGCAAGGGCGCAGTGTCGCCCACCTCGTCCATCATCTCGGGCTTTGACCAGTCCATGGCCTCAGCCAACACCATGGACTCCATCCGTGCGGGAGAGCCAGTCGGGGGCGGCTCGGGTCTTTTGCCTATGATCCAAGCCCAGCGTGATCGTTTCAAGAAGAAGAACGCTGAGCTGGAGGAAGAGCTGTCGAAGCTGTACGGCACAGTGAAGTCCTTGAGACAGGAGGTGGCCTCTCTACAAAAGGACAACCTCAGCTTGTACGAGAAGACACGCTATGTCTCAACATACAACCGTGGCCCAGGCGCATCATCGTCCGCCTCTGCTTACGCAAGCAGGCCCAATGCCTCGTCCATCCACCCATCAGCGGACACGCCGTCGGGGCTTTCCCTCGATCGTTATCAATCCGCGTATGAGGCTCAGATCTCACCATTTGCCGCCTTCAGGGGCCGTGAGTCTACGCGTGCATACAAGCGCATGAGCCTACCGGAGCGAATCGTATTCTCCCTCACCCGGATCATTCTCGCTAACCGCACGAGCCGGAACCTTTTCGCGGGATACTGCTTTGCTCTACACATCTTGATCTTCGCTATGCTGTATATGATGAGTACCATGGAGATTGAGAAGCATAGCAGCGCAAGCCTTGGTGCAGCCGCAGCGGCTGCGATGGCCGGCGGGGGCAGCGGTAGCGGCGGCTACACGGGCCAGCAGCTCCATGGGGACGATTGGCAGCAAGAAGGCTTCAACCACGCGGGTTGATCTTATGACTATCATTGTATTCTACCCCGTTGGGAGCGACTAATCATTCGAGGGCGTTTGTTGGTTGGCGGTTACGATCTGTGCTGATATTTTTCTATGTGAATATCCTATGTTCTATAATGCAAATACTTCTATATGATGATCGGGTGCTTTGATCGACTAGAGCCGTAGCTGCTAGAAATGTAGTGACATGCAGTATAGGGCAATAATGTACGGGGGTACGGCAAATCCTGCGGTTGGTACAGCCAACCAAGCTCCACTTTACCAGGAGTGTGAGCCAAGGGAGGGGACAAAAAGGTGAACAAGGAGGGTAGCGTGCGCCTTACTTGTACTATGTATCTCTCTCTTTCTTCTGTCTTTTCTTCTGTTCTCCAAGGAAGTGCATAAAGATGAAAGGTAAAAAAAGGAAACGGCCCGAGCCGCGGATCGAACGCGGGACCTCTCGCAGATATGCTTGGGTTTGTATCCCTAAGCGAGAATCATACCACTAGACCACCCGGGCGTTGCTTGTTGAAGCACGAGTGTTCTTTACAATCTATGAGCCTTAGTCAACGTCATCTGTTTTCAGGGGGCTACCTGCCCTATCGTGACATTCGTCATACAAAACTATACAGCTGAGGAAGTATAATTGCTCTGTTTGCACATCTTTGGGCTTCGGCATCCCTCGGGCAATCGTCACGAGCAAGAATGAGCGACGTAGTCGAGTGATGGTTGCTGTTAGCACTCGTCGATCAGAGGTGAGTCACTAAATATATTTTGTAGAATATGTTCCTCCCAACACTACAGAAGGATGGTACCTGCTTTTCACCATTCAACTTCAGCCTGTCAAAACCACCATCAATTATACACAGATAACATGGCGGCATCTCAATTATAGCATATACCACCTCATCGATAATTTGGACATGTTGCCCCCAAACCGATGATTGGCCCTTGCGCCAGTTTATTCACGTCGAACGACACATTTAGGGCTAGTGTTGTAACACAACAATATACCTCGAGCGAAATGAACCACCAAGTTGCCAACCCCAAGAAAACACGGAGAGTTAAAGGCTTACAGCTACCTCGTATACATAGTAGAGTTGTGTCATTGGGCGTCCACCCAGTAATAGCCGAGCCTACGAAACGACCAGCCAGACAAACATTTAATAAGATCGAGAAACTGCTGAGATACCAATCGCGATGCGATGTACTCGAGAGCCACCCATACCAGCCTCCTCGTTCCAGACACAACAATAGGATCATACTAATGCCGACGGATCTTACCCATCATGTCCCAATAGCCACCCGAGCCATGAGCCAGACCGGTACCACACCGCGGCCGAACGAAATCCTCCTTGGAGCCAGAGGGCCAAATAGGGAGCTGACAAACCTCGTCTATCCTGCACTTATTGCACTCCCGGAAGACCGCCCAATCCAAGTAGTGCTTTAACTCCTCAATGATTGCAATGCCCTCTTCATAAGTCTCTGCGCTCGCGCCAGCAACCAAGCTCGAGCACAATCGCTCCGAGACCCGAGAAACTGCTTGAGCCGGGACAGTGGTAGTATCAGCACCAGAGACCCAGAACTGCTTGGCGCAGCGCTCAGTCTCCGCAGTCGAGTTGCGCGCACGCGCGTCGATAAATGGCTCGATAGCGAGGTGAAGCTCACGCCGAAGTTCATGGTGAGTTGAAATGGCTGGAGACAATGCCAGTCTAATGCGGTATTGGTATCTGGTAATGATCATGTCAACGACGTTTTGCCAGTTAATACTGGGGGTTGTCGCGTCAGGTCCTCTGACTAGTCGGTCAATGTGTGCGCGTACGGACCCCAGCTTTGCAGCATCGTCGACCACCCGGGGAAGGCCCTGATCGTCGAAGTACATTGCGTCCGGGTATGCGAACATCGTGACGAAGTCGTCGTAGTTGATGGACACCCTGCCACCCCCAATGCCATCGAATCGGGTAGCAAGTGCCCGGGCATAGCCGAGGTGGGATCCTCCGTCGCCATTGCGCGATGGGTAGGTGCTGAGGATGCTCACAACGTCGAGGTTATCGGCGAAAGAGCAGAGAATGACCTCGAAGCCACCGACCATTCGAATGAATCCGTCAATACGACTGTTCCACTGATCGCGGGCCATGGCACACAGATCTTCGGCACGCAGGTTGTCATCCTCTGCTGGGCTGCCATCGAAGAGGGATGCGTTTCGAAGGACAATATCCTGCATGTCGAGGGTACCCTTGAGAGATTTCGCAGCCGACTGTCCATCGAAGTAGACTAGACGTAGTTCACGCTTAGTGCGATAGGTGTGAAAATATCCCGTCTGTTCTTCAGCTGTAGGTTCGGTGGGCATGGAAGATGACTGTTCTTGATGCTCCTCAATGTCTGACTGATTCTGGTGGCCAGGCTTGTTATGGTGACCATCGTGAGATTCAGGAAGAGCTTGCGAGCTGAGACTTTCCACCTCTAATCTCTGGGATTCTCCTTGATCAGTTAGGAAATACTGAACCATTAACTGCAATCTCTTCCATTGGCGAGTGAAGTGGCCTTGGTGAGCCGTGCTTTCAGTAGTCATGTCAAGCTTGTGGTGTTTTGCGTGACCACGAGAATCTGCACGATATGGTTTCACATCTTCGCGGTGCCGAGCATGATCTTGCACCCAGCTGCCAGTCTCCAATCCGAAATCATTTGCATGCTTAACTAACCCTTTCCAATTCTTATCATGGCTTTCCTCCGTACTGCCCTGTTCCTCATCGTCAAGTGGCGGGTTGTTAACCCTAGAGGGTTGTTGACGACGAATCCGACCAGGATGGGCAAAAGCCATGGCATGCTCCGGCTCAAAAGCCAGCCACTCAGTTCCGTTGATACGATATGCACTGAAGGTACCGTGGTAGAATTCCGTTCCTTGAGGGACCGTGGCAATGAAGACGGACATCCCATTGTGCTGCATGACGCTGCCGAACATCTTCATGGAGTTATGCAGAGCATTGAAGATGTGAATGGCATAAGTAGAGCCATCTGGTACAGCAATTCTTTCTTCGGCTGGGATTGGACTGGATGCCACCGTCCATGGCAATAACACCCAAGCTAGCCGCTTGGTATCGAGCTTCATGACTGTCGAGTAGCCACCATCTGGATGTCTGAGGCAATATTTCAGGAAAGGAAACCTCCGTTGAAATTGAAGTCATGCCAAGCTCCTTATGAAATAGATCAGATTTGGGTCTCTCAGGGGCAGAAATCCGGGATGACGTGGTCTCCACTTCACACAGCTGAGACTAGAGGCATGGAAGGGGGAATGTCAACAAGGGCTTCGACATTAGAGTCACTTGGAGGCATGAGGAGTATTACCCGACCAGAGGTTGGAACCTGTCACTTGATGTCGCCATCACGGCACATAAGACAGCCAACAGGCATCTTGCCTGCGGATTAGCCGAGTGGTCCGTTCGGTCTCTCGCGGTCCCATCCAAGAATCGGGAAGCAGAATCGGGCCTCGGAGATAACGTCCTCAAGGGCACAATGCATCGGCTGCCAACCTCAGTCGGTAGGATACATCAACCCAGGTATTATTGACCCACTCGGTCGCGGGGGACGTTGTTGGCTGAAATTGGAACGACCGGCAGCAATCCGTAAATATAATGGCTCCCTATAAGGGTACTCAATGCTGACCTGTTCCGGGCCAATTTGAACAGCTGATTTATCTTATCTGATCCAGGTGTCTCGTGGGTTGGCTCGCCAGTCCCACTCAGCCCTGATGTACTATCATCCTGCGCTTGGCATACCTTCCCATCCATCCAACCACATCTGACCGCATATAGGATACCCCTGCAATCGATGCTGGCCCTTTCATATCTCGGTTGGAAAGTCTACGAGCTCACACCACTTTCACTGGCATCTTCCTTCTCCGTACAGCTGTCCAGCGCATGACGGATGCCCAGAATTTCACCCGTGTCTTTGGATGCAATATAGGATGTCAATTGACATTGGCAGTAAAGATGAGGGGGTGCGAGACGGAGCTCCATGACGACTTCGTTCTAGGATGGTTCTTTCCGAGAATGAGCACTATATAGCGGCCTCAGAACGACTTTGGAATTGAATACCAGAGCGTTTCGAACAAGTTCAACTCCCGCGTCCTCTCATCTCATCTTGACGAAGACATAGGCCGTCCAAGGTGCTCATCGAGTTCATAACCTTGCTCAGTCCTATTCAAACAGTTGTTTGGCTCTTCCTTCAAGAAATAGCTCCGAAGAAGACCACACCATTTCCCTCAATATGAAGTCAACTATCACTCTTCTACTCCTCGGGGTTGTCTCGACCGTCAATGGGTGAGTATCATCTAGTTGCCACAGTTAACGCTGTGCCTATACCGACAGCGCTAAGCTTGAGTGAGTGCATTCTCAACTGCCAAGCCGAAGCTGCCGCAAGCGACTGCAGCACCAGCAACTAGTAAGTTGAATACATTTACATCTGCTTCTTCGAGCAGCATCTCATGATCAACGCACAGCAATCAGACCAGCTGCTACTGCAACAACGGCGACCTCCCCATTGAAGTGCAATCTTGCTTGGAAAAGTATGGACAAACCACGCTTAGTGTGACCTTTACACATGCTAACACATACAAGGAGCTGCTCGGATGATATCGGATCCTTCCACACCTATCGTGGCTCACAGTGCGGAGGATCTTCTGCTACCACCACCGCAACTGCAGCTGCTGCAACTTCAACCATTCCCTGAGTAGCTGCATCTTAGACTGCCAGTCTACTGCCGCCGACACTGTCGGTGGTGTTTGCTCGTCTAGCAACTAGTACGTACCCACATCTTCCTACATCCCCCCCTTCGCAACCCACAAAAGGTAACCTCAACACCCAGCAACTACACAGCATGTTATTGTGACTCGGATTCCTTCGCCACCCAAACCCAGGACTGCATCTTCTCGTCCGTACCCCTCGCCCCCTCTACCGTCGCCGGGATTGCAATTATCTCCTTGATTGTGTATTTACGCCTCTACGTCGCCGGTGGAAAGCCGCCCATACTTACAACAAGGACAGCGGCCTTAGGAACTTTCCGCTTCATAAGATGGCTCCAGCTTCGACGTCTGTTGCGTGAGACTAGCCATCTGTATATCAGGACACTCCAATATATGTATGTAGACTGGGAGAATACATACAGTGCGGCAATGAAACAATGGTCTTTCCATTTATACTAGCTCTACCGGCTATCTATCATATTATACCACATCACGATAGAAACCAAATAGAATGTAGAACCACCCAATTACCAAATACTTCTCTCGTAACAAGACATTAGGTAGACTGCAACATACTACACATCGCAATAATTTGATATGCAAATTAAGTAAGCTGACTAACACACCATAAAGTTCTCTGGTTATGCACCTCGCAAAGTGCTACCAAATGCGGAAGCTAGCGCCGGAGCGCTAAGATATGTAAGAATAGTGTTGAGGTAAAGATGAAAAGGATTAGGAGGATAATGCTGCAATGCCTCAAAGTTTCCTGGGAGGATGGAACGCTCTATAAGTAGTTTAAGTAAGGTGGTGTTGATATGGACTAGCCCACCCCCGAACATTAATCTCTTCTTGTACCTTGTCCCAAGACAGTCAGTCTTGCTCCGAATATCTTGAGAGAAGCAACCTTTTAGAATCTGAGTGAGTAATACGATGTAAATTAACTAGCTAAAAGAGATATTCAGACTCCAGTTAACATGGCCATGGCAAATTCCGCCATGAAGGGACAGGAAATGGAACCAGCGTGAGACTCGGCTCGTCAGAGATTCAAGTTAAGGCGACCAAACATTAGCGGCGCATAATCCCTGCGGATATACTGCATGACACGGTTCAGGGTGATGACAAGTTCAAGCATGCATTTTCGGCTTGTGGCATCCCCCTCAAGCTCGGGAATGGGACCCCAGATATACTGCAGATGTCAGTTCAAAGATGAATACAAAGCAATAAACTTATGAATCGGCGTACCACATCTTTTAATGCCCCAGAAGAACAACCCATCGCATATATTATGTAGAACTTCCAGATTGGCCCCACCACTGTGCATCCGATAATAGGTGGAGGGGGAATACCCGGACAGACATGTCGATAAGAATCATGAGCCCAAGACATTAGACCAGCCATCCATACTCCCAATTGTACTCGAGCTTCAGCACTAGTACCATCAAGTCCTTTGACTTTAACACCGAGGCCAAGTAGTCTTTTCCCTGTGTGCGCATGCTCGATGTGACTCATCTCTCGATCAGGGATATCTATCCCGGCGAGCCTATAACATTCTTTCCAAGGCTCTTTCGGTAGACCAACGACTAAGTCAAGGTTATGATTGAACATGCCTCTCGCACTATGAGCAGGCAGATACTTGTCCCTTACAGGCTCGGCTTGCCTGCAACCGAGTTTATTAGCTTCCAAATTCTTGCTGCGACTTGTGCACGGTGGCTTACACGCTCCACGAATCCAAGGGCAGATCATCGATAGCCAAGTCTAAGAGCGGTCGGACATAGTCCATCACCCATGAACCTTTACTCCGCCCCTTTTTGGCACAGCGATAATATGCAGATATCACCTTGCTCATTTCATGTTCAAAACCATCAGAAGTCCAAACAGGCTCGCCATGTTTCAGAAAGTGTATGAGACCATAGACGTGATTGGAATCAGGCGCCTTGCTGTCTAAGAGTGGAAGGGCGTTTTCGAACCCAGGCACAACGTAGTGTGCCCGAAAGACAACCCTGGGCCTAGCTTCTATAAGTCTGTTGCTCAAGTCCGTGACGATGCGGTATCGTCTTCTTAGCCCAGAAGTAGACTCCGATAATGGTAATGACTCGTCGCTTTCGCAAAACTCCGTTCTAGATGCTTGATATGGCTTTGGCCTGCTGCTTCAAATGGGAGATATCGGGTAACTCATTCTCATTTTCGGTGCGCACTTGTCCTGCTTCCTCGTGATTATTCGCTTCGATGTTCTCCCGGGCAGGGGTTCGTCGGAACCATTCGCCTGCCATCTCGAGCAAATTTGGGCTTAGACCGTCCGTTACGGAGACAACAACGTTCTGGATAAATGACGAAAGAGTCAGTAATGATAAACTCTGAAGATAATGGAAACGAGGGTCATATTCGTGATAGACGATAGAAGGGAATATTGTCGAGGGATTGTTATTATCCCAGCAGGACACCTAGAAGGAAAGCCTCACCCTTTAACCCCAACCTGCCAAATCGGGTCTTGGCTCTCGGATGGCCTAACATTTCTCGGGTTCTTTCTTAAATGAATCAATTGAGATCTAACGAGACAAATGGTGCCTGAGTGTGCAGCAACCGAACCAATAACCTCAGTTCCCACGGAAAAGTTCCGACATCAAGCTCATGCATATACACATAAGCCTTTCATTGGTTCCTATGAGCTGTTCTGTATGACCAGATACTTTAAAGGAAGCGAAATTGTTGATGACACTTTCGGAGTACACCTGGCAATACTTCATAGTCCGATTGCTGTGGAAAGGTGTCATTTGCTAGTATAATTGATATGCCGTTGGAGACGTTGATCGTCTGTTACTGTGATTGAACATCGATTATAACAATGACCGCACATGGGCCGCGTGGGGATATGCGGATTATTCAAATGTATCTGGCTGAGCTCCACCCGATATGCTACAGTTTTTCTAACAAGTTGGAACATCAAATAATAATGTCGATTTACAGGTACAATGGATTTGGGAGTAGTCCATTAAAGAGGCGCCCACCAATTATGTAGTAGCTGCCTAATTAAAATCATGACAGCTTGATGATTTGAGGGCCACCTTGTGATGGTAATTCGAGGTAGGTATCATGCAAAGGAATTATTAATTTATAAGCTCCGCTGATGGAATTTCATTTAGCCAAGTGCCACCATTCTTCGAAATAAATGCTCTATTCATTACAAGGACTAGATGCCAATTACAGGAGCTTTGAATAGGATTGGAAAAGTGTTAAGAAGCTGCCAATTGGCTCCTATCGGCCATTTGTTGTCCGATATCCCCGGACAACCTGCGGGAGTATTTGGACTTACCACCAGTGATGACTGGAAGAATGAAACCGGAAAAGTCCTAGACAAATGCCAAGTTCAGGGATTTGGGCAAGTGGTTTACACGGGCACGGAAACAGAAAAGACATAGTAAAAGAAGTAAAAGACAATTACAATGAATTGTGGGCTTTCCTCCAGATTATCGGTTTCCTGAAAAGCACAGAATAGCCCCGGTGGTTCAGCAAACCGCGCATGATCTTCCACCCATAGACCTCGAGCGGATCAACTACTCAGTTGAGAGTGAAGGAAGGGGGTGAACATTGAGGGCTTCCGTCGTATCCGCATGGCGTGTGGTATTAGTTCTTTTCTTGGCTTCTACAAAAGAATTTTATTCCCAAGTTACTAATGTGTTTTTACACATGGGTGTGTTTGGAAGTGGCGGATTAGTTTGGTACTATGTTCTATGCAAAGAACACAAGGTTCCATCTACTCTCATGTCTCTCTATCTTAGCAGTATACTACTTCCAATATCTATACTACCTTCTAGAACCGTTTACCCGCTCTATCCGAGTAAGCATCCCCTTATTCTCAGTCCTACAGATCGGTGACATCACTAATCTACATAAATAGCAACATGAATACATAAATCCCTAATCCGACACGGACAGACGGAGCTGATACTCCACGAAATGCAAAAAAATAACGCATGATAGCCAAAGTCCTCCTCACGTAGTCGGCCTTGGTAGACGGCAAGGCCGAAGACCGAAAGCTCTACGAGCCATGGATCCAGAAACCACACTATGTATGCACGCGAAGTCACAAGAGGATCTATCCCCAAAAAATAGCGCATGTTACGTGGGGGTTAGCAGGAAAGCGAGGACTTTCGCTGTTTCAGAGATGGTTCAAGTGACCGAGGAGCTGATGATCCGTCGCGGAGACGGTAACTCTGCTGCAGGCTTGAGGGTATCACACCGGAAGCCAGAACTAGTCGTGCAATGGCTGCAGAAGTGAGCCTGACTCCGCTATTTGGAGAAGCTATTTAGAGAAAGCGGAATGTGCCGCTGATGATATCTGAGAGCCCGTCCTATACATGATAAGAGGGTTGCATTCGGGCCAAAGACGGCCGTTGCGGGAATAAACGTACTATTAGCACAGACTCTGTTTTGATTTATGGGTTAGTAGGTGCCTAGAGGAACTTTTGGTCAGGACAACTCATCTGTGGTAGGGCCAGAATTGCTTTTGATGGAGAGGGGATCTCCAGGCATCAACAAGCCGTGGGGTTGGCCTTGCGGTGGAGCTTACAAGATCGAGTATAAGTGTGCTTTCTCAGGAACTTGGTTATCTCTGCATGCTCTGATGCCATGATTAGTTGTACCTTTCGAATTTAGAGGGAATTAGGATCGGCAGTAGCTTCCATGAGACTCAGAATAGAGATCTTGTGACGTGAGATGCTTCGAGATTGCGACTAGTAACCTTAGCCGGTATAGAGTCTACCGTTCCTATTTTTATGCCGTTTAATCTACAATCCCTGTCGGCAAGGATTGAGCCTACTATTTCAGAATGGGAATGGGTCATCCTGCGTCTGGCATGTGCTGTATGGGGGTGGCGGGTGGTATCTCCACGAGGTTGTCTAGTACTTCAATTCTGATGAGTACCTGCTTCGATTCAGGGAATAACACTGACTAAGAACATTACATCACAGATTTACTTAGCATTGGCAATAATAAACTCCAGTTCAACTTCAACAATGATCAAGTCCAAGATAACAGTTGTTGCCCTACACTAGAAGCGTAGCTAAGCGTTGAGCACAGGCCTCTCTTATAATAAGTCCTGATAATCCCTGTTGTGAAAGGATCTTCCAAAAATAACCAGCCTCTACAGCGATCGCCGATTTGCCAAATTACACTGTGGATACACACACCCTGGGGGTGGGATAGATAGACTAGTAGTCGTCAAGTTGTTCATGGGGGAGTGTGGACGGGAATCTGCAGGCTAACCGGCATTGGCAAGCTTCTAGTAAGCTAAGCGCCGACCCCTCACGGTGAGATATTAGGGCTGCTCTATTAATAGCCGGTGAAAGGCGATCGGACAATTTTTAAACAGTCGGCGCCAATGAAACCTTGTCACTAGACAGGGTTAGTGAAAAAGGCTTCGATCGTTCGATATACCAATCATGGCGCGCCAACGACTCTATCTTCTGCAGAAATAGTCGCCAGGATAGACGACCATGTTTCGCGTGGCCCACCCTCGTATACCGTTACTTTCGGCACTTTTGGAGGCGTGAAGGATTCATGCCTGGCGCCCATTCTTGCACCAATGGGAGGATCGCATTGCTTGTGCGTGCTGTGGGCGCCTTCAGGCTTGCTGTGAGTCGAGGCTGTTTATAGATACAACATTATGGGTTTCAAGAGCCCGGTGTGGTACTGCGTTTGATTGCACATGCAAGCCTTCTTCTTGTGGCTGTCGGTCTGTTGGAAATAATTCTTATATAGCCCTTCGTCCAGCTGGATGCACCCTTCTCTTCTTCTCTTCAGGTCCCCAGCCATCCAATAGTTAGTTCATCTTAGGGGAGAGAGCTCATCTCTTCCTTTCCTCTCCTTCAACTCTTCACGATTGCTATTCTTCTTAAGAGATACCCATCAGCGTTAGAAGCTCCCTCCTCTCGACTTCTCCATCCTTGAACTTCATTCTATCCTCGCATACAGTGTATGCTATTTCGATCCTGCCACCCTCTTCGAAATAGAACAATACGTTTGTACCAAGCATCCGGAATGCGTGCAAGCCTCTTTCTCCTGGGCTGCCTGACAGCAGGCTCCATGGCAGCACCAACTCTCCTAAACGACGTATACGACTACTCGTTAGACTTAGCCACCTACCTCGGAAAAGTGAGCAAGTACATCGAGAGCACGGGAGAAGAGCTCATCAAGAGCGTCAACTCATGCGACACATCCAAAATCTCCCTCCCGACATACGCGTCCAGCCTGCCCTCACCGTCCGGGATGAGCCCAATTTATGTGGCAGTGGGCCGTGGCACCCAGGTAAGCGGAAACTGACCCGCCTACTGTCACACAAACAATGCAGGGGGAGAACCGTTCAAACTGACAAGCCCTCTCCTTAGAACTACACCTGTGCCACTTCGACCTCGAGCTCAACACCCCAAGCCATAGGTGCAGTGGCGCGTCTTTACAATGCAACCTGCATCGCAGCCAATTACCCAGACATGTTGTCGTTACTCCCAGGTATAGTGTACAAGGAACAGTTGCCCAGTAACGAGGAGGAACCTCTCCCGCCGGCAGACCTTGAACTCTTGGGTCATCATTTCTTCAGAGATACGACCACACCAGTTTTTAACCTGGATACTTTGGCATCTCGGCAGTATGGGATTGCGATCACGAAGAAACAAGACTCGCTCGATGCTCCGTCGAGTGCTATTCAGGGTAGCAATGGGGCTGTCCAATGGCTGTACCTGACTACTATCAACGGTACCGTCGGTGAGTACGAAGCGGTTTATCGAGTAGACACGGTTGCCGGTTCAGCCCCGAAGACCTGTCAGGGAATGCAGTCGGTGTTTACTGTGCAGTATGCGGCCAACTATTATTTCTATGGTGCATGATGGCGGGTGGGGTACAGAGCAGTTGCACTGTAAATAGACGGAACTGAAGAAATGTTTCATGACAGGTACACTATACATCATGTTAGAGTAATCAGTAGCGCGTAATCCTGGCCCATTATGTAGCGTAGCTGTCAATTCTGCAACTGTTGAGGGTCAGTCTTAAGCGCCGAGTTGTCAGAGAAGAGCGATGCGCCTTCCGATTGGCAGGGCTGGCCAGCATCAGGTGACCTCGCTATCCAGCTTTGTCACGTGCCTTGAGTGCCCACAGCAGCAAGCCGCGCTAGCACCCAACGGGGCCTAGTGCCGACTGAATTTCGAAAGAATCCAAGGCTCCGTCTGAAAAATCTCGACCGCAACAACGACGAACAGCACGGCCTCGACCGAACACTGAACGCCAGTGCGGGTGTATTTTTTCTGCAAAAGCTTCTCTTCAAGGTCCTCGAGACTCGACAATTTCGGATTTTCCTTCTCCCGAACGGGCCTTCCTTGCCAATTTTTCTTTTTCCTATTCTCCGGTTATACCGCAACCGAAGAATCGAAGCATCAGTCCGATAACTTTTCTGGACTGACAGCATTTGACTTTACGTCTTTATCGACATTTTTCCGATTTAAATCACATATATCACAATGGCATTCGGTGGCCCTCGTGGTGGACGTGGCGGTGGCCGTGGTGCTCCTCGTGGAGGTGGTGGTGGCCGTGGTGGTAGAGGTTTGTTCACCATCGATTGATTTTATCTTGGGAGAAACGTGGAAGACATGCGGGTCTATGTGATCTGTTCGCATTGTTGTCGTCGAATCAGTTGGATTCTGCATGTTGCGATGGAAAAGTTTTGTTCTTTTCCAAGAGCACATCAAGTTTTCATACGGTCGGCTCAAATCGCGTGCTGAAATTGCGGTTTTCCCTGTAAGGAATAACAGAACGTGTCGCTAATCTTTTCACGTTCTATAGGCGGTCTTGGTGCCGGTGGTCGTGGCCGTGGCGGTGGTGGCCGTGGTGCTCCCCGCGGTGGTCGTGGTGCCCCCGTGGCCGTGGTGGTCCTCGCGGCGGTGGTCGCGGCGGTGCTAAGGGTGCTAAGGGTGGTGCTAAGGTCATCATTGTAGGTGTTCCCTGATTATCCAATTGAGAAGAAAGAAAGCGGGTGGAATCTAACAGGAATTCGCATAGGAACCCCACCGTCACGCCGGTGTTTTCGTCGCCCGTGGTGGCAAGGAAGATTTGCTCGTCACCAAGAACCTTACTCCCGGAGAGGCCGTCTACGGTGAGAAGCGCATTTCTGTCGAGTCCCCGCTGAGGAGGATGGCACTGTGACCAAGACCGAATACCGTGTCTGGAACCCCTTCCGTTCCAAGTTGGCTGCCGGTATCCTGGGTGGTCTGGATGACATCTACATGCGCCCTGGCTCCAAGGTCCTGTATCTCGGTTCCGCCAGCGGTACCTCCGTCAGTCACGTTGCCGATATCGTCGGACCTACCGGTAACGTCTATGCTGTTGAGTTCTCCCACCGTTCCGGCCGTGACTTGATCGGCATGGCTACCCACCGCACCAACGTTATCCCCATTGTCGAGGACGCCAGACACCCTCTCCGCTACCGCATGCTCGTCCCCATGGTCGATGTCATCTTCGCCGATGTTGCCCAGCCTGACCAGGCCCGTATTGTCGGCCTGAACGCCCACATGTTCCTCAAGGAGGGCGGTGGTGTCATTGTCTCCGTCAAGGCCAACTGTATCGACAGTACCGCCAAGCCCGAGGTTGTGTTCGCTCGTGAAGTCCAGAAGATGAGAGAGGAGAGGATCAAGCCCAGGGAACAGCTGACCCTGGAGCCTTTCGAACGTGACCACTGTATAGTGTCTGGTATCTACAAGCGCTCTGCATGAATTTAAGAAACAAAAAGAATCCGGTGGTTTTTGCTCTTTTGTCTCTCTCATGTCATAATTACTTATGCTTCCCCTTTTTACGGCGTCGAGTGTTCCGTGATCTGTTGCAATTTTCTTCGAATTTTTTCCTTGTGTGTCCTCATGTCCAGGTTTCTTAGATGTACTTCTTGAGTCAGAAAATTTCGAGGTTTACGGTTTCTGGTCGTTCAAGAGTTTAGCTGCTAATTAAGCTGGTCAATGATTCACCATTCTCATTCTGTAATACAATGTGTAGTGTTGCTAGACAATACCCATAGCCCATCGTTCGTTGATCCATCTCGGACTTCCCCCGGCCATCCGCTTTCTGCCCACATCTCGGCACTCGGACCGTTCAGCGGAGAACAGACCGAAATGCCTCAATAAATTCCACTAATCGGACTTGCTGCGTGGATCCATGATGCTGGGCTAATGAGAGGCTTCATTTTGAGCGGTTTCAAGATGAGTGAGGGACTTTGGATTGGAGATGAGGCAATTGAATGACTGCATTCGCAGTAGTAGTTCTCATGTCTCCGCTCAACCCCGCAGTAGGCTGACTGCCTTTACTATATAAGAAGTCTTATAATGCGACATCGCTATCACTTACCCAAAAAAGGCCAGTCTGCAGCAATCCACATATCTGGCAACTCCCAACACACACCAGTTTACAATTACAACTACCACTACAACTGCAACTACAACATGTCCATACTCATAACCGGAGCCAGCGGCTACGTTGGACAAGAACTCGCCGCAGCCCTACTTACCACCCTACCATCATCGACAGTAACACTCACCGACGTCGTTCTCCCCACAGTTCCTAAGAGCGCAGCCCAACATGGCTCCCGCGCACAATGCATCGAAGCAGACCTCACGAACCCAAGCGTAGTCGACAGCCTCATCACCTCCACCAACCGCTACGACACCATCTACCTCCTCCACGGTATCATGTCCAGCGGATCTGAAGCGAACTTCGAACTAGGCATGCGCGTCAACCTCGACGCAACACGCTACATCCTCGACCGCCTCCGCACCGTCACACCCGGCGTCAAAGTCGTCTTCACTTCCAGTCTAGCAGTATACGGCCTCGCACCATCAGGCTACATCATCAACGAGAGTAATTTCCCGGCCGTGCCGTCCTCCTCGTACGGATCCCAGAAACTCATCATCGAGACGCTGCTGAATGATTACTCCCGTCGCGGGTTCCTGGATGGTCGTGCTGTCCGTCTTCCCACTGTTACCGTGAGGGCGGGAAAACCGACACAGGCGGCGAGTAGCTTCGCGAGTGATATTATTCGGGAGCCGTTTAATGGCCGGCCTGCGGTGTTGCCGGTTGCTAAGGAGACGGAGATGTGGATTTGTTCGCCGGCGACGGTGGTGAGGAATTTGGTCAAGGCGAGGGAGATTCCGGCGGAGAAGTTTGGGGATTCAAGATCGGTCAACTTGCCTGGGTTGAAGGTTAGTATTGCGGAGATGTTGGAGGCGTTGGAGAGTATTGGTGGGAAGGAGAGGAGGGAGTTGGTGGAGGAGAGGTATGATGCGGATATTGATCGGATTGTGCAGACGTGGACGCCCAATTTTGATACGAAGAGGGCGTTGGAGTTGGGGTTTGTGGGGGATGTGTCGATGAGGGAAAATGTGGAGATGTATGCGAAGAGTTTGGGGAGTGAGTAGGCTGTATTCAGTGGTGATGATGGTAGTAATGGAAGTGATTGATTCATATGCTATTGGGACTCCTTGTATGGAGGTTAACTGCTTTGGGTATAATGGAGTCATGTGATATGTAGTAATTATGGTGAGGAGGATCAAAGTAGGAGATTGGTATTTGATTGTTGATGTCATTTGATGAGTATAGACCCTGTTTGGATTTAACTGATGTTGTACACTTTTTGAATGGCGGTCTCCAGACCGTGCTAGTAGCAACAACTGTCTAAGCAAAAGAAGCTAGGGAACAGTCGGAGCGAATGCGGTGGTTTGGAAAAGCGGGTCATGTGATTGGCTGGCGGATGGGCGAACAATTTGACTCCCGAACTTCAACCTCGCATCTCCAGGGCTGACCTGACCGTCTTGTTGCACCCTTCCTCATTCCTCCCTCCTTCCCCCCAACCCACCTCCATCTTCACACAATGGCTTCTCGGCGCCTAGCGTTCAACCTTAACCAGGCTCTCCGGAGCAAGGCCGCCCTGAAGGCCATCCAGCCCGTCAAGCGTGGCTTCGCTTCCCCGGTCACCTTGCCTTCCACCACCCAGTCCACCACTCTCTCCAACGGTTTCACGGTACGCCGAATGGGTTATCTCAATGGCTCAAGGAACTTACTGACTTGCCTCAGATCGCTACTGAGTACTCCCCATGGGCTCAGACCTCCACTGTTGGCGTGTGGATCGATGCCGGTAGCCGGGCAGAGACTGACAAGACCAACGGAACCGCGCACTTCCTGGAGCACCTTGCTTTCAAGGTATGGATAGCCTGCAAATTGAAGGCTGGAAAATGCGATTGCTGACATCCTCTAGGGCACCAACAAGCGTTCCCAGCACCAATTGGAGCTCGAGATCGAGAACATGGGCGCTCACCTGAACGCCTACACATCGGTACGGCCCGGAAACATGGAAGAATCAATTCCCTTGGATCGCAACTAACGCCGTATGACTACAGCGCGAGAACACCGTCTACTACGCCAAGTCCTTCAACAACGATGTCCCCAAGGCCGTCGACATCCTCGCCGATATCCTTCAGAACTCCAAGCTGGAGCCCACTGCCATCGAGCGTGAGCGCGACGTCATCCTCCGTGAGCAGGAGGAGGTCGACAAGCAGCTCGAGGAGGTTGTTTTCGACCACCTCCACGCCACTGCTTTCCAGAACCAGCCCCTCGGTCGCACCATCCTCGGCCCCAAGGAGAACATCCAGACCATCTCCCGTGACAACCTGGTCGACTACATCAAGACCAACTACACTGCTGACCGCATGGTCCTCGTTGGTGCCGGTGGTATCCCCCACGAGCAGCTCGTGAGACTCGCTGAGGAGCACTTCGGTGGCCTCCCCAGCAAGCCCCCGACCTCTGCTGCCCTGGCCCTCACCGCCGAGCAGAAGCGTATCCCCGAGTTCATCGGTTCCGAGGTCAGAATCCGTGACGACACTCTCCCCACTGCCCACATTGCCCTTGCCGTCGAGGGTGTCAGCTGGAAGGACGATGACTACTTCACCGCTCTCGTCACCCAGGCCATCGTCGGTAACTGGGACCGTGCCATGGGTAACTCCTCCTACCTTGGCAGCAAGCTCAGCTCTTTCGTTGAGTACCACGGCCTTGCCAACAGCTTCATGAGTTTCTCCACCAGCTACAGCGACACTGGGTAGGTTATATGCTGTTCGTATTCAAAGGTTATCGCTAATTGATTGGTACACAGTCTGTGGGGTATCTACCTGACCTCCGAGAACGTCACCCGCCTCGAGGACCTCATCCACTTCACCCTCCGTGAATGGTCCCGCCTGAGCTACAACGTCACCTCCGCTGAGGTTGAGCGCGCCAAGGCTCAGCTGAAGGCCTCCATCCTCCTCTCCCTTGACGGCACCACCGCCGTTGCCGAAGACATTGGTCGCCAGATCATCACCACCGGCCGCCGCCTCAGCCCCGAGGACATCGAGCGCACGATTGGCCAGATCACCGAGAAGGATGTCATGGACTTCGCCTCCCGCAAGCTGTGGGATCAGGACATTGCCATGAGCGCTGTCGGCAGCATCGAGGCCGTCCTCGACTACAACCGTATCCGTGCGGACATGAGCCGCAACTCTCTGTAAAAAGGGAGAGCTCATGACTGTGGATTGAGAGAGTGCGAGTGAGAGAATTAAGAAGAAGCAGAAGATTTATGGCCCGTGTTTTCTTGTTTTGGTGATTTTCTAATAGATAGAAGCGGTGGTCGTGCCCGAAGGAGCGTGTCATGTACAGTACACAACTGTCGCTATATCAAAATGTATTTGTTTAGTTTCAGTTTGCACCGTTACATCGTAGACGAACAACACCAGCCAGTTTATCAGTTCACCTCTCATATTTTCACCCCAAGAGAAATATAATCAAACAGCAAAACACCAACAAACACCAATCCCGGATAAAAACGATGATTCAAAATCCCAATGCCTTCGACGACACAAACACAAAATCACCCAAAAGTTATTCCTAAGTTGAGATTTAAGCATACTGCATCCCCCCAGGAGCCTTATACCCCTGCTGCCCAGCAGCACCCGCACCGCCCTCCAACAACGCCGCCCGACTCTCCAACTCCTTCTCATGCTGCATGAGCGTGCAGCACGGGCAGCAGCACGCCCGCATACAGTCCCCGCATCCGGACCCTTCTAGGCCGAATTTCTCTCGGATTTGGCCGCGCTTCATCATCAAAGGGATAAAGTGGAAGCCGCAGTAGCCGAGGAGGAAGTAGAGGCAGCACTGAATTGCATTGTCAGTATTAGATTGGTCGTATGGGGAGAGAGATATATATTGGGAGAGATGGGGGTTGTGGGGGGGGGGGGGGGGGTAAGTGTACGTACACCACCGTTCATCATGCTATCATCTTTCAGGGTGGGGTCTTCGAGACGAGAGCTGGTGCGGCCGTGCAGGCAGCAGGGACAGCAGCAGCCGAGGAAGCCTGTTCGTTTGAGTATATCTGGTTAGCTGGATGTATGTGTGTGTGGTATTTGAGGATTGGGGGGGGGGGAGGATGGGAGGATGGGAGGACGTACAGGTGCCGCAGGGGGAGCAGCAGTCCCAGAAACCGGAGGACCATTCTTGACCTTCGCCCATTTTGATTTTTATTAGTTGTTTGGATGTGGTGGTGAGGTGATTGGGTATATGGTGTGGTGAGCGAGATGTATTTAGTATATGGGATCTCAAAGGTGATGTAGATAACAAGTAGGAAAAAGAAAAGAAACAATTGAACGAATGTATGTATGAATTCAAAGGAGTCGAGTATGTTTAAAATAGTAGTAGAAATTCAAAGAAAGTGATACTGACTCCCCGTCAGCAAAGCATACCTCCTCGGGTCTTATAACTCTTGTCCAACCCACCATTCCCCCCCTATAACTAAACTAAATTCTGTCTCTGGTTACAATTACGCCCGATCTTGCATGGGGGCGATGCAAATCGCACGGCACTGACAGTGACTCGAGGAGGAAAAAAAAAATAGTCACACATCAAACAAAGAGACAAATCGAAAATCAGCCCCAGGACAGACTCCACACACGAACACAGCCTTGCATTAGTGTTGGTTGGCGTTCAAGGAAACCAAAACAGACAGCCGTTGATCGCTATCCATCCGCCTTAGACTAATATAGGGTAAGTAAGGGCAGGAGTCTAAGGGGCTGTTCGCTGGCTGCTGCTGATTTGGGTAGATGAATAGAAATCGGGCCAAGGAATTAGTTTTGACGAGTTTAGTAGTGGCTGTTTATCTCTACCTATCTAGATAGCTGGTTTCGGCCCTTCGGTTTGGGGGCCAACAGGAACCTCAAACATGGGTGTCAGGGTTGTTGTCCAGGCGTAAGCGAGGGCTGGCAGCAGTCAGAATGGTGAAGGGGTGGGGGGTGTTTTAGGTTTTCTCGGTTTCTTGGTCTTAAGGTGGACAAGAGTATTATATGAGGATGCGCGGTGATTAATTCCGAAAGAAGATATGGCAGTTCGTATTGAAGGTTGAGACATGAAGGTTGAAGGGTGGATGTTTAGGTAACGAGATCATATTTAGGGGCATCGCGGGAGGGAAAACACGGGCGTGGATCGCGATCAGGGCTCGCTCGCGGGTTAGCAGGTTGACCGTGGTTTTTGGACGTCGGTTCTGCCTAGTGTGCCTAGATAGATAGGGTCCGTCTATCCATGTGAACGAACTTAGCAACAATACACGACACTAACAATGCAATCTAAGCTTTTCTAGAGCCCGTGTTTTTCGGGTCGAAATGGTTTCATTTTCAGCCACTGCCTCGATGGCATAGGGTGCATTGCTTGGCCATTCTGTTCGTTAGATTGTGTTCAGTTGCGGCTTCTATTTTTTAGGCTGGGATGATGGTGACTAGTAGGTATTGGTGCTCCCATTTCTTGGTCTAAAACACTAACGACAGACTAGGTAGGTTTATTGTGCGGCTGATCAGGCCAGATTGAATCCTTTCGTGTGACTGCTATTGACACTGTTATGGAGGCTCAACGACCAGACCGCTGAGTTCGCGGAGCTGAGCTCGACAGGGATGCTAGGCACTAGTTAGGGAACTAACGGGCTGGTCTGCTCCTTGGACACACTGTCACCTAGAAGGATATTTTGCTTCGGTTACACGGAACCTTCCACCTGTCAACAAAACCAAATAACGGCAAGAGAGGCTGTTGCTTGAACTCCGCACTACCTGTTTTCATGTATGGTACGCTGCTTATCGCAGTGATGCTTCCACTCAGCCCTGCTAAGCCACGCACGGGGCAGGCCCGGGATGGCTGAGACTGGCTAAGCTCTTCTCCGAGCGAGAACCCTGGTCAGAACCGGGTCTTCAACGACCAACCCCTGCAAATCCCCCGAGCTAAGGCAAACACTGCTGCTGCCGCGAGATACAGCACACCCGCGAAGATGATGAGCCCGCCGTACTGCCCATGATCGCGCTGGATGATTGCTCCGGCGATCGGAATCCCCGTGAGTACGCCGAGACTGGCGATGGTATACGTTGTGCCCGTCCGCGCTCCGTAGTCCTCGGTTGCACAGATCTGTGAGATACAGACCGGGGACAGACTCATGGCAGCTCCGCTCCAGAAGCCAAACAGTACGGCATAACAGACAATTGCGCCCAAGCTACTTCCAGACTTGTACCACAATGCAAGGGTCAATATTGAGCATACAAGGGAGGTGACAACCATCATGTTGAACCTCCCTAAGCGATCAGCAGCTAGACCCGGTAACAGACGGCCAGGGATCAGTCCGATGTTCAGGAAGACAAGCAGCAAGTATGAAACCGTGTTGCTCAACCCGACGTGGACTGCATATGAAGACAGGTATGTGTTTGGTACGAACACGGCGAAGTCAGCAAGAAATATTGCGGCTGTAGTGACGGCGTACTTGGGATCTTTCAATGCTTTGAAATCTGCTAGCGCACTGCCTCCGGTTTCTTTGCCGAGGGGTAGGCGGGTCCTGATCAGAAGACACCCGATAGCACAGAGGACGAGGCTCAGGAGTGCTATGATCCGGATCGACCAGCCGAATCCGATCTTTGGCGCATTGAAGTAGATGATTGCAGGGAAGATCACACCTCCGAGTCCACCTGCTGTGCAAGCAAGTCCAGTGACAAATGCTCGACGGACGTTAAACCAATGGCCGATTGCTGCAACAGCCGGAGTAAACAGAGCACTAGCCGATATTCCTCCCAAGACGCTGAAAGACAGAAAGATCTGATAGTATTCTACGCATAGTCAGTTGCGATGCTGCTGCTATTCTCTCCGAAAGCTTACCTTTACTAACACTGAAGCATACCAACGATACTACCATGCCGATGGACCCTGGAAGAATGATGTAGGTTGGGCCCCATGTATCCAAGATTGGCCCTATAACAGTCAATAAGATGATTAGCCTGTCATGCTCAAAAGCTTGCCGCTGAAGTACGCACCACTTTGGGCTCCTGCAAAGTAAAGGAAGAATCCATATGCACCATAAATCCAGCCATAGCTCGACTCTGGGTAGTCTCTGAGCTGATGGGTGCTGGTCCAGATATGGAGCGTCCCCGCAGTATTCATCAAGCCCAAGGCTGGGACCATAGCGCACCATGCGCCGAAGACCACCAGCCATGCTTGGAGACCTCCTTCCGGATAGTATATACTATCATCTTCTTGCTCGGTGGTTTCCTCGGAGAATGTTGAGTAGACCGACAACTCTGTATCCATTTTCTTTCCCCGATGTACTTGCACATTTAGACGACATTGAGTTCCCAAGGATTTGAGCTCTCCGGACAATGACCGCTTAAGAGGCACGCCCGCATCAGAGGCGGTGATTGCTTTGCTGGCATAGGAAATATTGACGCCAATCAATGCAAGGGCTACCTGCACTCATTATCTGGCCGACAGCATTCGATAAGGCCAAGGATCTTCGGAGCATAATGAAGTGAGCCTGGTTGGCCTAAGTGGTGCTTGAAATTGGTTCTATCCTGCTGTGCTCCTAGAGTACTACACAGACACTGCTCCAGCTACAGATTCCGTCCAGTTCGGTGGTTATAACCCAACCCTGGAAATAATCGTAGATATGTATGTATTCGGCGTTCATCATTTCCTGAGCTCATTGACATTGATTCTATGCAGCTGGTCATTTCCCCGAAGACAGCCTTGAGTCTGGTCGGGTCACTGATTGAGCAATCGTCAACTGGTGAATCCATTTGCATGACGACTAACTATATCCGGTTAGTGTACCGGCCCGAGGATGTTCCATGGCGGGACGGGCTTACATAATGGCGGGCGGATTGGAGGCGCGATTGGCGATGGATTGATTTCTGCAGCGGAGAAATTGCGGAAGCTCGTCTGGTTCTTTCGCATCGCAATTAATCTTGATCATCATGGGTAAGCGTGGAAAGAAGGTATGTGAGACAATCTGCATGTCCGAGAGATTATAATTATCTCGCCAATTTTGCATTTGCTTTCCATCGTGGGTGGGGACTAACTTCATTATCTCGGCAGGGCGGCGGCGGTCGCGAACGCCAAAACTGGCAGCAAGTCGCCAGGGAAAATGCCAAGTTCGAAAGCTACTACAACGATCAGGGATTTATCCCCGAGGAGGAGAGGGAGGCTTTCTGGGAGGCTATTAGGAGAGATCTTCCTAACAGCTTCCGCTTCACCGGGTCTCGAGGGTACGTTATTATCCTTGCGCTGGACTATAGCAGCTCCTGCGATATCATTCGAGTCAATGCAACTGACATTCGCTTCAAGCCATGCCCTAGCCGTCCAGGAGAAGCTCAAGAACTTCTACATTCCCGAAATTACTTCGATCAAATACGAGGGCAAAGATGTCGAGCCTCCCCGTCCCGTTCCCTGGTACCCCGACCAACTCGCCTGGTCCATGACCACCCCCAAGCAGGTTGTTCGGCGCTTCGCCCCCTTCGCTTCGTTCCAGAAATTCCTCGTCGCCGAGACCGAGGTCGGCAACATCAGCAGACAGGAAGTAGTCAGCATGATCCCTCCTCTTCTGCTTGACGTCAAGCCTGGCATGACCGTTCTGGATATGTGCGCTGCCCCTGGTAGCAAGTCCGCACAGCTCATGGAGATGATCCACGCCGGCGAGGAAGAATCCATGCAACAAGTGACCGCGAAGGTGGCCGAGGGCACCGCTTCCGCCGAACCAATGGGACCGGAAGGTCTGGGTGACGATGGCCGAACCACCGGCTTGCTGATCGCCAACGACGCCGACTACAAGCGCGCCCACATGTTGATCCACCAGATGAAGCGACTGAGCTCGCCCAACTTGATTGTGACGAACCACGACGCCACGATGTTCCCCTCGATCAAGTTGCCTCCGGAGCCCGCTCCCGAAGGAAAGCCCGTCAAGAACAAGTACCTCAAGTTTGACCGCATCCTGGCTGATGTACCTTGCACCGGTGACGGAACGGCGAGAAAGAACTGGGGTGTCTGGAAGGACTGGAACTACAACAATGCTCTGGGATTGTACGCCACGCAGGTCCGAATCCTTGTCCGCGCTCTGCAGATGTTGAAGGTCGGTGGCCGTGTGGTCTACTCCACTTGCAGTATGAACCCCATCGAGAACGAGGCCGTCATTGCTAGCGCTTTGGAGCGCTGCGGCTCAGCCAATGTCCGCATTCTCGACTGCAGCAATGAGCTTCCGGGACTGAAGAGAGCCTCTGGCTTGAAGACATGGAAGGTCATGGACCGTGAGGGTCGCATGTACAACAGCTGGAAGGAGGTCGAAGAGCGCAAGGAGCGCGAGGGTATCAGTGGCCTTGGCCGAGTTGCTGAGGGCATGTTCCCTCCTACGGAGGATCTGCCCCTCGACAGGTGTATCCGTATCTACCCCCACATGCAAGACACTGGCGGCTTCTTTATTACCGTGTTGGAGAAGGTGTCTGAAATCCGTGCCAAGCCCGAGGATTCCTCCAAGGTCATCCCCAAGGCTTCCATCGCTGCCCTAACGGAAGAGCTCGACTTCAAGCAGAAGAATGGAGACGGCCAGCCTTTGGAAAAGATCAGCGCGTTGGACGACTTGGTTGCTCCTGACCAGGAGGCTGAGAAGGAAGCCGAAAAGAACGCATCTGTTGCGCAGGCTACCCACCAGATCCCCTACTCTGCTACTGACCAGATCTCCCCTGCCAAGAGGGATGCAGACAGCCTGGAAGACGAGCTTCCGGCGAAGAGGACGAAACTCGAGGACGGTTCCGAAGTTGTCTTGGGAGACCGCCCTGTTCACGCCCCTGCGCCCGTGGTCGAGTCCGATAGTGTCGAGACCTCTGACGCAACTCCTGCCCCTGCTGAGTCCGCGAAACCCGCCCCCGCGGAAGCTCAGCCGCAAGCTGCCCCTCAGAAGCGCAAGAATGGCCAGCCTATCGAGGAGCCCTTCAAGTATCTGGATCCCAACCAGGAAGAGCTTGACCCGATCTACAAGTTTTACGAGATCTCTGAGCGGTTCCCTCGGGACCGCTTTATGGTGCGCAACGCGGAGGCAATCCCGGCTCGCACCATCTACTACACCAGCTCTCTGGCCCGCGACATCTTGACCGCGAACGAGAAGCAAGGCATGAAGTTCGTGCACTGCGGTGTCAAAATGTTCGTGCGCCAAGATGTGCAGCGTCCTGAGGTCTGCCGCTGGCGCATTCAGACTGACGGACTGAGGATTCTCAACCCCTGGTTGGGCCCTGCTAGAGCCGTCACCCTGACCAAGAAGGAGACTCTGCACAGACTTCTCGTGGAGATGTTCCCCAAGGTCGACGGTGACAGCTGGACGGAGCTTGGAGAGATCGGCGAGCGGGTCAGAGACATTCCCATGGGTTGCAGTATCCTGCACATCAAACCGGATGCCGACGAGACTTTCCAGTAAGTGACATGCTTCAGAATATTATAAAATGCTGCAGACAGACTAACGAGTACTAGCGAGCGGATGACCCTGCCTCTTTGGCGGTCCCTGCACTCCGTCAACCTCATGCTTCCCAAGGAGGACCGTCGCGCCATGCTTCAGCGTCTCTTCAATGATGACACTCCCCTGGTCAACACCACACAAAAGCGAGCTGCCCAGTCTTCGACGCCGATCACTCCTACCACTGAGGCTCTTAACGGAGAGGAGACCCCGGTCACGGCTCCTGTCGAGACGGAGGAAGAGGTGATCAAGCGTGAAAACCTGCAACTTGGCGAGGATGAGCAGGAGCAGATGGACACGCGCGAGACGTATTCGAAGGCTGGTGACGAGGAGGACCGCTTTAACACGACTGTATAATCTTAGGTGTTTGTTTGCATATACGGCAGTGATTTGAATGAAAAGCATTGGCTGTTTTGGAATATTATTTTGGCATATACAGTTTCTTTGATGTTTTTACGGGGGCAATGGACCCTAACTTCGAGAGCTCTCATGAAACAGGAATAACTGGGTTTCTTGCTTTGTCTTGAAGTACAGAAACCACCTATAAAAGTTCGTGGACCAAGTGTTCCAGGCGACTGACCCCTTGATGCTGGACTTAGTTATCACTGCTCACCTGAAGGACAGTACGACCAGCCAGCTGGCCCTTGGCCATCTTATCAAGCCATGAGTCCAAGTCCTCCAATTTACCCTTGGTCAGAACCGGCTATCCCAAGTTAGCACACGAACTCCAATAAAAGACCACAGCAATACTCACATGGACGATGCCTCTCGCAGTAAATTCCAGCGCCTCCTGCGTGTCTTGCAAAGTACCAGTTATGGACCCCACGATGTTTAGTTTCTTGAGTGCTATCATTATCGGCGGTGCACCAGCCAAGATCGTAGGATCCTGAGGCAATCCAATAGCCACCATAGTACCATTCGGCCGCAGATACCCCGGAGCCGCCGCATAAACAGCCTTGGTGGCCGCTGTCACAATAATGCCATGAGCACCATACTTGGTGACCTTCATGACCTCTGCCGCCACATCAGGCGTCTGCTGGAAATCGATGAACACCTCTGCCCCAAGCCGCTGGCACAGCTCGCGCTTCTCTTCGCCACTATCAATAGCAATGATCCTCATGCCCATGGCCCGCGCAAACTGAATAGCCAAGTGACCAAGCCCACCCCCAGCACCAGGGAGGACAATCCACTGTCCAGCCTTGACATTCGACCTGAACCATCATTCATCAGACCAAGCCCGCAGTCAGGAGTGGAAATTACTAACCTCTTACAAGCCACATAAACCGTCAACCCCCCACACATCATCGGCCCAGCCTCCTCATCACTCACCCCATCCGGAATCCTAGACGCATACCGTCCATCGGCAAGACAATATTCCTGAAACGTTCCCGGCATCGTAAACCCACTATTCTTCTGATTGATGCAATTCACTTCATCCGTTCCCGTCAAACAGAACTCACACTCCCCACACACACTCGCAATCCATTTAATACCTGCTCGGTCGCCGATCTTCCATCGCTTCTCCATCCCCTCGCCTACGGCAACTACTCTCCCGACCCCCTCGTGGCCGGCGATCCCTTTGGCCTCGGGCCTCATACTTAACCCGAAACCGGCCCATTCGTCATGCAGGAGGCCCTTGTCGGAGCCGCAGAGTCCCGTCCAGGTGATTTTCACGAGGATTTGGCCTGGGCCGGGTCTCTCGACGGGGATGGTTGAGATGGTGGTTGTGAAGGTCGGGCCGGTGCCTTGGCGGATGGCGGCGCGTTGGTGCGTGGGGAGGGAGGTGGTCATTGTGTTTATTTATTTGAGGGTATAT